ATTAGGATGTGATCCCATCTCAAGTCAAGGAGCATCTGTAGTTGGTTTATTGTGTTGTTCACGTCTTCTGTTTTCTTACATTTCTTCTGTCTGGTAGATCTATTATTGGAAGTAGGGCATTGAGCCATCAAGTATTATTGTAGAATTGTCTGTTTCTTTCATTCTGTCATCTTTTGCTTCATATATTTTGGGAATTTGCTGTTAGGTGCATAAAGGATCATAATTATTATTGCTCTATTGAATATTTATTTACTTTGGTCAGTATTTCTGTGGAGTATCTTTTTCCATCCTTCTACTTTCAACCTACTTGTGTCTTTATTTTATTTTATTTTTTCCTTTTTTTGTCGTTTTTTTCGTGACCGGTAATGGGATCGCAACCCTCGGTGTTGCGCCCATACCACGACCAGCAACGGGATCGCAACCCTCAGTGTCGCGCCCGCACTGCGCTCAGCCAGGGAGCGGACCGGTCTCTATATGGGATCCGAACCCTCGGCGGGAGTGCCGCCAAACTCCCAAGTGCCGCACTCTACCAAGTGCGCCACCAGGCCGGCCCTACTTGTGTCTTTAGATGTACAGTGAGTCTCTTGTATACAGCATTAAGTGGGATCGTAATTTTTAATCTGCTTTGCCAATCAATGTCTTCTGATTGGGGAGTTTAATCAATTTACACTTAAAGTAATTATTGATAATAAAGTACTTACTTTTGCCACTTTTTGTTTTCTATATATCTAATAGCTTTTTCTTCCTTATTTCTTGATTATTGTCTTCTTTTGTATTTCCCCAATTTCTTTCTTGTAAAACATTATTCTTTTCTCATTTTCTCATGTGTATATTCTACAGATTTTTTTAGGGAATTCCATAGGGGTTACATCTAGCATCCTAAAGTTATAACAATTTAATTTTAATTGATACCAACTTAACATCAGTAGCATACAAAAACTCTGGTGCTATACAGCTCTATCCCCACTGTTAATTGATATCATAGCTTACACTTTTATACATGGTTTTCCCAATAATATAGATTAATGATTGGTTTTACATGTTTGTCTTTTAAATCTTGTAGAAAACAAAAAGTTTTTTACAAGCCAAAATCACAAAACAAAATCACCTTTTATAATTGTATTTATGTTTACTGTAATTTCTTTACATGGCTTCAAATTACTGTCTATCTTCCTTTTATTTCAGCTTGAATGACTCTCTTTAGCATTGCTTGCAGAGCAGATCTCATGGTAATAAACTACTTCATTTTAATACTTTATCTACCACATCCTTTTTCACTCAGTCTGCTAAAGCCACAATGGCCTCCTGGCTAGCTTTCAAAATGCTGTTGACATAAGACACAGGAGACATGATCTGTTGTCCTGAGTTGAATATTTTAAACGGTTCCAGGCTGGCCTTTCTCCGGCTGCTTTCCTCCCCCTAAGTGGGAGTCTGTGGGGACAGAGAATGTACCATTGCACCTACCCATTCTAGAACATGCTACAGACACCTGGAATCCTACCGTTCCCTACCCAAAGAAAGACCCTAATTCAAGCTCCAGGGTCTGCAAAGCCTTTTCCCTAGACTATCCTCCCAAGGGTGGTTCATGCCACAGGTATGATTACCTATTGGTCTGAAGAGTGGCCAAAGGCTGTGTTCACTGGGAAATGCAAAGTGCTTGGATGAGCAAGCTGGATATCCATAACTTGGATGACCCTTTGTGGTGTGCTACAAAACCTCAGAGTGGGAAGAGATGAGAGTTCACCATCAGACTGGTGTCCCACTTTTAGGGCTTGCTCTTCCCAAAATGGTAGATGCTCTTCTGTGGAAATTCAGAATCCCAAAGTTCCAGTCATTCTAAAGGTTTATTATTGAAAGTTAGATCTTAATGGTTTTTTAAACTTGAATAATAGTTTTTAAATGTTAAACAAATAGTTTACAAACCTCTACTTGTACTCTTGCCCATGACCCTGCAAATGTTAGAGATGGAAGGTCACATAATCACCAACCATGTTCCTGCAATGAGGACTTTGCAGTTCTGGTTCCTTTTGCTTGGAATCCTACTTCCCAGAATTTNAGGGCTTGCTCTTCCCAAAATGGTAGATGCTCTTCTGTGGAAATTCAGAATCCCAAAGTTCCAGTCATTCTAAAGGTTTATTATTGAAAGTTAGATCTTAATGGTTTTTTAAACTTGAATAATAGTTTTTAAATATTAAACAAATAGTTTACAAACCTCTACTTGTACTCTTGCCCATGACCCTGCAAATGTTAGAGATGGAAGGTCACATAATCACCAACCATGTTCCTGCAATGAGGACTTTGCAGTTCCGATTCCTTTTATTTGGAATCCTATTTCCCAGAATATGTTTCCCCACTTCAAATCTCTTTTTAAATATTATCTTATCTGTGAGGTCTTTTCCAACCCCTTGAACTAAATAGTTATCCTCCTCCTCTTCCAACCCTCGCATTTCTATCCTCTGAGGTTTTTAGAAGTTTTCTCCAAAAGACTTATCAAAATCTGATCTTTCTTCCAAAATTTCTCTCTCAGTGTATGGACTTTTTTTTTTAATAGTGTTTTTTTTTT